AATAGCTCTGAGTACCCACATTATAGCACTTGGTAAGTAAAGACTGGACCATAATTTATACATATATATATATATAATCATAGAATGGCCTAGGCTGGAAGGGACCTTAGAGATCATCTAGTCCAACCTCCCTGTCATGGGCAGGGACGCCACCTCTCGACTAGACCAGGCAACACATGGGGACCGACCAGGAATCGAACCCACGATCTCGGTGTTGTCACAGTTGTCAGCACCGCACTCAAACCACTGAGCTAACCGGCCCCCTATATATATATATATATATACAAACTTGACATATCCTTACTTACTGTATATATTGAAGGGGGCACCTTCTGCTGCAGTTTTATGTACCTGCACAGTTCATACACACCAACAGCCCATCTTGTATTTAAGTCTGTTTATGATTTTCAAATGTGCTGACAGGTTGAGAGAGAGGAAAGCACTCTGTCAGATGGAGGCACAGTGTATTAAAGCCTAATTACTCCATAAGATAAACTTCTGTAGTCATAACGAAGTAGACATTTTCCAAGCTGCTATACCAGTGAAATGCGCACACATACTCAGAGGGGTGTATAAATCAGGCGTAGAGCAGCGCATGGCAGAGGGCAGCAAGACTGCAGTTAAACCCTGGACCATACAGCAGAACCTCACTGCTACAATCCACAGAATGGTTAGACACATGTATTGATCCTACACCATTGATTCCTACATCACAGCAATTAATAATGACTTGGAGCAATTAGAAATTAAGTGTTCTGAGGCAGAGGTGACATCGCTGTCAGGGGCCATCACCGCAGTGAATAATGACAGCTCCAGCCCCAGGGCATAACATCGGTCGGGTGCCAGCGTGGGCTGGTTGCACTGGAATACAAGTGAAGATGATTGGAGCTGCTCTGGCTCTAAAACAAAAGGACATCCGGGCATGCCTATGGAGAGCACCTCCCAAACAGCACGTTGGGGTGCTTTGCTCCCTACGGCCAGATGTGCTGGTTGGGAACTTTAACAAAAATGCAATGCTGTTCACAAGCTCTGTGGGGGCAATGGTTACCTTCTTTGCAAATGATGTCCTATCTCCACAGAAGTGCAGGTGCGTAAATACTCCTTTTCCAACAAATACTTGAATTTTGGCAATCTGTCTTTTTGACCAGATGTGGTCTTGCTGTGTTTAATGGTCCCTTTTCTCCCTCTGGTTCTGCCCCCACAGTTTGTTTTTCCCGTTCTTATTGCCTGTTCGCCAGACCACTCTCCTGAGGGCCACCAAGCCTTGCAACACAGCTCTCCTGCACCCTGAAGGGGGCATCTCCTCCACAGCGAGACAGAATGAGCTCAGCTGCCTTTCCTGGGCATTTCATCGGTGCAATGGGAGGGACTGATGCAAAAGGCAGCCCTGACTAGAAAATCATGCCCCTGTCAGTCAGTTCACATTAGAGAGGCTCTGCTCAGTGGTGCACTCAGGCATCCCTCAGCCGGTGCAGATAACTAACGATGGAGCCATCAGCCTCTGAGGGGTACCCCCTGTGCACCAGCTGGGGACAAAGTCTGTCACGTGCATCCTGACGTGTGACACACGGGAGGCTCCATCTTTGCAAAAAGTCTGGCAGATATTTATTAAAGAAAGAACATTTGAATAAAACCCCACAGCATCAGCAGCTGGGGAAGACCCCCACTGTGTCTTGGTGCGCTCTCGGAGCCTGGTGCTGAGCACACCAGAGTTGACCAAGAGGTGCGTCTGCCCAGCAAGTCCAGTCTGGGGAGAAGCCCTGATGTCTGACAGACTCTTTTTTTTCCAAGGGGATTTGAAATTCAAATTTCTTGTCATTAAAAACCATCTTTCCCCCACTGGGGAGATGGTTTAAGCCATATTCCAGGAGGGATAACACCACTTCACTTGCACGAATTCTCTTGCTGCTTTAATCAGCATAATACCCTTCTCCATCCTCTGTCATTAAAGTGCTGGGCTGTTCTGATCCTCATTTTGACAATAGTTACCATGTCTTAGCCCAGAAGGTACTGCATTTCAGCAGGGACCAAAGTGAAATGAGCCCCTGAAGAATTATGGGCAAAATTCCTAGTCATGCTGAGCTTCCCAAAATTGCTACTGACATCAGCACCACACAGCATGGTGGGTCTCTGCACTTGGCAGGGCTGAATTCAGACTCAGTTAAAAACTATGAAATACTAGGACTAGCAAAAGAAATTCTATAAATGAACAGAAAAGTTCTCCATTCTAAGGAATAGCTAAAAAAATATTTTGTTTAATTTATTTGACTCCACATGCAGTAGTCGCTCGAGTGTGGAAGAATATCAAAGCATGTGTTTTTGACAGAAAAATCAATTTGCAAAGGGCAATTACCATCATTCTGTTTTGTACCAGAATGATTCTCGGTAAGGCAATATGTGTTAGAGACCAAGAACATGAGTGGGGGAGGCAGATCGGAGACAAGCAGGATTGCTCCTAGCAATCCCACTATCCTGATGTGCCACTGGCATTGCAAGGGAAGACTGCAAAGACCTAGCTGCAAAATGTCACTAAAATCTTCAATGAAGTGATTTAACAGTAATTTAAAGAAAAAAGCACAAAATTTTGATAGAGATGGCATTTTGTGCAGCAGATTGCTTTGGTTTTGTAGATAAAAGCTAGTGGAACCAAACAGATTAGTGTGTGATCACTCAGCATTATTAAAAAACTCATCATAAAAATAGCATGGTTGGCAAAAGTGACAAATTAGCTCCAATAACGGAGCTATCAAAGACAGTTACTAAAGGGGTAATTTAAGTGTGTTCTGGGAAAAAGAGGATTAGGAAGAGGCATAATTAAAATATGCAAAGCCAAAAGGGAATAGAGAACAGATATTAAGTCACTTTGAATTAGTAATTCATGAGAAGGTGGAAGGGAGAGAAATGGATGAATTTACACTCTGAAAGGGCCCTGATATTCCATTGTTGCAGAGAAAAAAGCTATTCAGAGCCTGAGTACATCTTATCTGCACACATGAATTAGATAGGAGAAGGATTCAAGAGCTGAATTTTGTCGCGCAAATGTGTTTCCCAGGTTGGCAGGCCTCTGCTGTCCCAAGCGCTCACCTACCTTGCAAATTCCTCTGCATCCAGGTGCGGAAACGGGGCCGCCCATACCCGTGTGATGAATTCCTGTTCTTGACCTGCTGCCTTTGCCTGTCCCCAACAGCGCTGGCATTGGTTTGCTCTTTCCTGTGGCGTTTTATGATGTCATCTAGATTGAAATAGAAAAGGGGAAACTCTTAAAACCTGCACTTTCTACAAACAGTGATTCCCACTTTTGGTGCCTGCAGTTGTCTGCAGTAAAAATAGAGCTTGTGGTTCTGTGAGCTACGCTGGCCGGACAATAAAAGATTAAGCTTAGCTCAGAAAGTATAGGATCAATTTATTCGGTTCCTGTGGCCTGGAGATTAGAGTGTAGCAAATTATTTCAAAATGTGCTACCATCCGGCATGTATCCACTATGTGCAGGACACAGATTTCAGACCCATGTCCCACTGAGGGATCTGATCCTGTACATTTCCAACAAGCATAAGGGAATATAGGATCACAGAATGTCAGAGGTTGGAAGGGACCTCTAGAGATCCTCTAGTCCAATCCCCTCGCCAAAGCAGGATCCCCTAGGGCAGCCACACAGGAACACATCCAGGCGGGTTTTGAAATTATCCTGAGAAGGAGACTCCATAGCCTCTCTGGACAGTCTGTTCCAGTGCAATATGTTTTTGTAGGAGCACTAGGAGCTCAGTGCTGTGCAGAGAACACTTTTTGAGAAGGTTAGACTTGGGAGACTGCAGGGCAGGTGGACAAAGGGGGGAGAATGGGCAGAAGCACCCATGGGTGCAATCATGCTCTTCAATCACGCTTGGTGATATGAGATGGAGCTTGAAGTCATAAACTTCTGTGGCTCAAAAATCAAATAGATGCAACATGCACAATGAATACTTTGTATTTTAAGTTCCACAATCTTCAAGACTCTTGATGTTCTGACTAACTGGAAAAGGCGTTCCTCATTATAGCTAACCTAGAAACAGATGGATAAGGATGTATCAACCAAAGAGCAAGAACCTCTCAGCTCCTCCACTGTTTGGTGAAGCAGAGAGGGTGAGTATTCCAAGTACAAGAGGACTGTGCAGGGTATGCCCTGTGAAACAGGGGTTCTCCCATATAGACCTGTCGGCACCACACCAAGGGAAGCAGCTCACCTGCTTCATGATGAACATATTACAGTATCACAGTATGCCAGGGATGGGAAGAGATCTCAAAAGATCATCTAGTCCAACCCCCCTGCCAGAGCAGGAACACCTAGATGATGCTACACAGGAAGGCATCCAGGTGGGTTTTGAATGTCTCCAGAGAAGGAGACTCCACAACCTCCCTGGGCAGCCTGTGCCAGGGCTCTGTCACCCTCACTGAGAAGAAGTTTCTTCTCAAATTCAAGTGGAACCTCTTGTGTTCCAGCTTGATTCCATTACCCCTTGTCCTATCATTGTTTGCCACCGAGAAGAGCCTGGATCCATCCTCGTGACACTCCCCATTTATATATTTATAAACACTAATAAGGTCACCCCTTAGTCTCTTCTTCTCCAGACTAAAGAGACCCAGCTCCCTCAGTCTTTCCTCATAAGGGAGATGCTCCACTCCCTTACTCACCTTAGTTGCTCTGCGCTGAACTCTCTCAAGCAGTTCCCTGTCCTTCTGGAACTGAGGGGCCCAGAACTGGACCCATTATTCCAGATGCAATCTCACCAGGGCAGAGTAGAGGGGCAGGAGGACCTCTCTCGATCTATTAACCACTCCCCTTCTGATACCCCCCAGGATGCCATTGGCCTTCCTGGCCACAAGGGCATATTGCTGGCTCATGGTCATCCTGCTGTCCACCAGCACCCCCAGGTCCTTTTCCCCTACACTGCTCACTAATAGGTCGTTCCCCAACCTATACTGGAACCTGGGGTTGTTCCTGCCCAGATGTAGGACCTGTTGAATTGATTCAATTTCCATGCTTGCCCCACAGCCAGCATCTATAAGAAGTTTTGGAAACCCTGCACAGCTCTTTGCAGACAGGAGGGAGAGCAACCAGCCAGCTCCTGTGCTGCTGCAGTGCAAGTGCTGGGACCAGACACAACTGCCTCTCACCTCTGAGGCCCCATCGCTGGCCCACCACAAAACGGGTATAAAACAGCTGGATCTGGGATGTCCTCACAATGTCCCAGGACTCCCACCACCCAAACTTCTTACTAGGCAGCTCTGAAAATGTTCTCTACTGAGCTCTTCCATGAACTGTGAGATCTCATCTTCTTTCCATGAAACCATCCAAATGCAGTCCCAAGGTGCAGAGCCTGTACGAAACAACCAACTATTTTCCCTGTGATTCATACACTTTTCATTTAAAACCGTATTAGTAGTACTGAGAAGACGACAAAGAATTTCTCCCAAGGACATTTCGTCACTGTGCTTCACCCGTTCGGAAAGAACGGTGCTCCCCTAGGCACTGGTGCTGTAACCAGCTGCACATCTCCTGAGCTGCTGTGTTTTAGGACAGAGAGAGCACAAGGGACACAAAGGAAGGTGATGATCCACCTGCAGTACCCAGAGTGTACCTGCCAGGCTCATGCCCATCCTGAACAAGTTTTTAACTTTGTAAAAGACAGCGTTGTAAGCTGAGGTATCTGGACTATGCACAAACTACTTTTAGATGCACAGCTCTAGAAAGAAACAGCTCAGAGCTTGTCAGTTCTCAATGAGTTGATGTGCAATCAAGGGGATCTTCATAACTCAAGGTGTTTGACAAAGAGGAAGGGCAAAGACAATAGGACATCTCATTAATTCATATCGTCCAACAATTACTACTTTTAACCTCAAATCTTCCAGAAAATGTTTAGCAAGTAATAAAGCTACATCTGTTAAGCTTCAAGCAGCATGTTTTAACTTTATTTTAACAAACTAGTGAGGAAAGAAATGTCCAAACCAAGTCTTTTCCCAGGTAGTGGCTACTTCAACTCTGTAATGAATCACTGGAGTGGAAGCAAAGAAGTGCCATTAGCTTTCAATGGGTGATTATCACAAATAGCACATCATACCTCTAGCGCTTGTCTCTTGTCATCTTCGATCAAGAAACTCCTGTGTCCAAATTAATACAAAGCCCAGGGAAAACAAATGAGGGCAGATGTAAGAATAGGCTGCGTGACTGCTTTTGTGATTTCTCTATCAAGTCTGTCAGGAAGAGAGCACGCTGGGAAAGGCTGGGCAATGTTCTTGGCATGAACGCGCTAATGTTCTCAGCTAAGTGTGCCTTTGGGACGTGCTATCTGGGGCACAGGCTGCCTTGAAGCGTATCAACAGCATCCCTGCTTGCTCCGCAGGGAGGTGGATGCAGGCATCCAGGGGCGGGCTACCTACAGTGTGAGAAAGCACCAGCTGGGAACAGAAAGATGAATGCTCAGGAGCCCGGTGACCTTTCAGTGTCTTTTTTCTTTGTGTATGAGTTGTTATCCTGCCTTTTGCACCCATAAAGATGATTGAGTTAACAGAGTAATATAATGGAGTCCTAGGTAAGGCTGGACGGGATCCTGAGAAGTCATTTAAGGTAGCCCCATGCCCTCAGGACAGAATTAGATCTATCAGGGAAGCTTTAGAGTAACTCCGGTTAGCTCAGTCAGTTGAGCGGGGTGCTAACAACGCTAAGGTCGTGGGTTCGATTACCGTTCGGTCCCCATGTGTTGCCTGATCTAGTTGAGAGGTGGCGTCCCCGGTGACAGGGAGGCTGGATTAAAATGATCTCTAAGGTCCCTTCCAGCTTAGGCCATTCTATGATTCTATGATTCTATGATCCTGCAGTTTCCTGTAACTGTTAACTCAAGTAAGGTCCAATGTATCTGAAAATACAAAAATAAGCACCTGACAGTGAAAGTATTGGTTCTTCACCAGGGCTCTTGTTTTCCAGTTCTCTCTTCTGCCCCGAGTAAGGTGTATTCTGGACTGAATATAAAGGTAGACAACAGGAGGTTGGACCAAGCTAAGCATTAAGGGAGAGCAAAAGCAAAGGGAGCACCACATGTCAACAGAGAAAGGGTGTGCAACACCATGGGAAAAAAACTAAATGAAAAATTAGGTATCATAGAATCATAGAATCACAGAACAATTCAGGTTGGAAAAGACCCTTGGGATCGAGTCCAACCATTAACCCTACACTACAAGTTCACCCCTAAACCATATCACCCAATGCCACATCTAAATGACATTTGAACACATCCAGGGATGGTGACTCAACCACCTCCCTAGGCAGTCTGTTCCAGTGTCTAAATATTCTTTCTGTGAAGAATTTCTTCCTAACGTC